TTATCTGTCTAGTATGTTGTGCAGCAATGACACAGTGAACCTCACATTCAAATAAATAGAATTGAAGGACAAGAGTTTCACTGAAATATGGTTTATCTATTATTTTGTAGGTATTCCAAATTTTATATAAATTTATACAGCAACATAACATTGTATTGTCTTAAAATGCAACATGAGCCTGAATCTAATTAATACAGATCAAAGATTTAAAAAATATCAAATTTATCATTACCTTAATTTTTTTTGGTCTAGTCAATATATATGTTGGTATGCACATTGCAAAAAATGGAAAAAAACACTAATGATATATCCACTTAGGTAGTTGCTACCTTGATCAGAGTAAGAACTGTATGACTCAAATGACTTCATTTCAATTCATTTCAATCTGGAGCTAAGTCCAAACAACTTTAAAATGTTAAATAAGTAATGTAACAAAAATCGACAGGAGGTAGGAGGAAGCATAAGACCAATTTCCTTATTGTTGATAGACAAAGTGAATCAGTATTTGTGTGTGATTTATACAAGGAGTTAAAACAAATTACACAGCCTTTCATATGTTTTTTATTAACACCTAGAAAAATTTGTGCCCTGGGGGGCGGGGGGGGGCGTCCCTCAGCCCGGCCTGTGCCCTCTTGCAGTCTGGGACCCCTCGGGAGATGTCCATCTGCTGGCTTAGGCCTGCTCCCTGGGGATAGGGCCTAAGCTGGCAGTCAGACATACCTCTGGCAGCCCGGGAGCCCTCGGGGGATGTCCACTTGCCAGCGGGGAGCAGGCCTAAGCTGCAGTCGGGCATCCTTAGTGCTGCTGAGGAGGCGGGAGAGGCTCCCACCACCAGCCACCACTGCTGTGCTGGCAGCTGGCAGCCTGGCTTGTGGCTGAGCAGAGTTCCCCCTGTGGGAGCGCACTCACCACCAAGGGGCAGCTCCTGCATTGAGTGTCTGCCCCCTGGAGGTCAGTGTGTGTTATAGTGACCAGTCATTCCCAGTCGTTCTGCTGTTAGGGTCAATTTGCATATTACCCTTTTATTATATAGGATTGAGGGAATTTTAGGCTCCATCTTTTATATCAAAGAAACATTTATCTGAAACTTAGCAATTCTGTCAATTTTATTTCCATTTCCTATTCCCCTCTTCCCATTAAATCCAGATAAAGCTAAATTTATTACACATGTAAAAACATTTATTATAAGACTCCTTTTAATAAAGTAAACAAATTAATCTTTATTGTTGAGAGTATTACAGATGCCTCCCTTTTTTTCCCCATAGACCCCCCCCTTCACCAGTTCCTGCCGCAGCCCAAGCCCTTACCACCCTATTGTCTGTGTCCATAGGTAAAATATATATGCATATAAGATCTTTGGTTAATCTCTTTTCACACCCCATCACCCCTTCCCTCTGAGACTTGTCAGTCTGTTCCATATTTCCATGCCTCTGGTTCTGTTTTATTTCTCAGTTTATTTTGTTCATTAGATTTCTGGTTTGCTTATTTTGAGTTTTAGATTCAATTGTTGATAGATATGTATTTATTGCCATTTTATTGTTCATATTTCTTCTTCTTCTTCTTCATCTTCCTCTTCCTCTTCCTCTTCTTAAAGAATACCCTTCAGCATTTCATATAATACTGGTTTGACAGTGATGAACTCCTTTAGCTTTTTCTTATCTGGGAAGCTCTCTATCTGTCCTTCAATTCTAAATGATAACTTTGCTGGGTAGAGTAATCTTGGTTGTAGGTCCTTCCTATTCATCAGTTTGAATATTTCTTGCCAATCCCTTCTGGCCTGCAAAGTTTCTGTTGTGAAATTAGCGGAGAGTCATATGGGCACTCCCTTGTAGGTAACTAACTGCTTTTCTCTTGCAGCTTTTAAGATTCTCTCTTCATCTTTAACCTTTGGCATTTTAATTATGATGTGTTTTGGTGTGGGCCTCTTTGGGTTCCCCTTGTTTGGGACTCTCTGACTCTCTGTGTTTCCTGGACGTGTAAGCCTATTTCTTTCACAAGTAGGGGAAGTATTCTGTCATTATTTCTTCAAATAGGTTTTCAATATCGTGCTCTTTCTCTTCTCCTTCTGGCACCCCATACTTCTAATGTTGGTACGCTTGAAGTTGTCCCAGAGGCTTCTTACATTGTCTTCACATTTTTGGATTCTTTTTTCTTTTTGCTCTTCTGATTGGATTTTTTTGCTTCCTCATATTCCAAATCACTGTTATTATTCTTGGAATCCTCTAGTGTTTAATCCCTGTAAATTGTTCTTTATTTCAGTTAGTGTATGCTTAATTTCTGACTTGTCCTTCTTCATTTCTTTGACATTCTCACTAAGATCCTTGAAAGTCTCATTAAGTCTCTTAAAGCTCTCATTAAGACCCTTGAAACTCATTAAGATCCTTGAGCAACCTTATAACCATTGTTTTGAACTCTGTATTCAGTAGTTTGCTTACTTCCATTTGTTTCATTTGTAACATGTTTCTTTGTCTTCCCATTTTGGCTGCTTCCCTGTGTTTAATTCTATGTATTAGGTAGAGCTATTATGTCTCCTGAAATTGGTAGAGTGGCCTTCTGTATTAGGTGTCCTGTAGGGCCAGTGGCTCAGCCTCCCCAGTCACCTGAGATGGGCACTCGTGGTGCGCCCCTGTGTGGTCTGTGTGCCCAGTCTTGTTGTAGTAGAGCCTTGATTGCTATTGGTATTACTGGGAGAAATTGATCTCCAGGCCAATTGGCTGTGAGGACCAGCTGTGACTATAGTGGAAGAGCTGTTCTGCAGGCGACACCTCTATGGAGCAGCACTTGCTTCATGAATTTGCATGTCATCGTGTGAGGGGCCATGCTAATCTTCTCTGCATTGTTTCAATTTTAGTATATGTGCTACTGAAGTGAGCACAGGTGGTGGAATATTATGACGTTCTACTGAGCAGTAAAAAAATGTGTGATTTCAAAAATTTGTAAACTATTGCCTGGAACAACAGAATTAGTATCCAGCCTTTAGGATATCACTCCATGACTGTGAATGCAATTTTATTTGATGAAGAAATAAAAAGTCATCTATGTATCTTTCAGGACTTATTTTATTTCTAAAATAGAGCATGAATCCTTCCCAATCTTGGAATTGAATGATTACATTTTAATATATGTATTTTAACTTTTATTGATTTTATTGGGGTGACATTGGTTAATAAATTATACAGGTTTCAAGTGTACAATTCTATAATACATTATCTGTGTATTGCATCATGAATTCACCACCCAAAGTCAAGTCTTCTTCCATTACCTTTTATCTCCCTTTTACCTTCTCCTACCTTCCCCCACTCCTCTTCCAATTCTGGCAATCACCATACTGTTGTCTGTGGGATTCTGGACTCTTAATTATTTTTAAATGCTAATTTTGTTCATTCTTAAAGGGACTTTCAAATTGTCACTTTTATGTCATCTATTAATTTTGTTTTAACATCTTTCAGAATTAATTGGCAATAAGATCTCTGTAGCCATGGCTAGTTCTGACATGAAACCCAAGTCAATAATTCGTGCCAAAAAATGGTCAGAAGAGATTGAAAATCTGTACAGATTTCAACAAGCAGGATATCGGGATGAAATTGAATATAAACAAGTAAAACAAGTTTCTGTGGTAAGTTTTATTCTTCTATAAATCTGAGCTCAAAATGACTTTGTTCAATGGTGAAAGTTTTAAAATAAAACAAAGAACTAGAGGATAACTGAAAGGAAATTCTTATCCAGCTCTCTCGTTTTATTGAAGAGTAGACTAAGGCCCAAAAAAGTGATTTTTAGGCAGAATGAGGAAAGGGGTGGTCCCTCAGCATGTAAATATTAAGAACTTTCTAGCTTTTATTGAACAACTATACTCTGCTAAATGCCAGTTTCATTTTAATTTTGACCACGAATTGTAAAGGGGTTAAATTATGTTTATTATGGGGATTACATGTGACAAAAAAATATTAGAGAACAAGTCCTGACTTTGGTAGTCCTTTCTAGGTTCTCTTGACTTTGCTTTTCATAGACTAGATTAAAATCTAGACACGGCACCAGTTTATAATGGGGTTTTAAAAAATTCATTCTTTCTACCAGATACTAGGAGACAAGAGTTTTTAAGAATATGGCATATAGTATTCATAAATGTGTTTTAAATATATTTTATTGATTTTTTGCAGAGAGGAAGGGAGAGGGATAGAGAGTCAGAAACATTGATGAGAGAGAAACATCGATTAGCTGCCTCCTGCACACCCCCTACTGGGGATGTGCCTGCAACCAAGGTACATGCCCTTGACTGGAATCGAACCCAGGACCCTTCAGTCCCCAGGCCGATGCTCTATCCACTGAGCCAAACCGATCAGGGCCATAAATGTGTTTTAGTGCTCAGATTTGGGGTTACAACAAAGTATTTATTCAATTTTTTTTTTTTTAGTATTAACTCTCCATTTTTTAGAGACTAATTCACGTGTATTTTTCAGCTCTCTATATTTTCTTTTTCCTTTGATCTTTGCTTAATACTTCCTTTAAAAGTAGATAGGAAAAGAAATTGGAGGCATTACAGAGCTAACATATTCTAGACCCTTTAATTTAATGCATATTAATTTGACAGATATTAGTAGGGCTGGTGAGGAACGAAGTTATAAACACTGATAAAATTAATATTTGATGACTGTGATTTTCATATACAGTCATCCCTCAGTGTCCCAGGGGATTGGTTTCAGGATCCCTCAAGTCCCTTATATAAAACTAGAGGCCCGGTGCATGAGATTCATGCACTGGTGAGGGGCATGGCCTGCGGGGATCGGCCCACTGTGGGAGCGCTGCTCATCCCAGTCAGCCCAGCGATGCTCCCACTGTGGGAGCACACTGACCACCAGGGGGAAGTTCCTGCGTTGAGCATCTGCCCCCTGGTGGTCAGTACATGTCATAGTGACTGGTCGACTGGTTGTTCTGGTTGTTTCACCGTTCGGTTGCTGGGCTTTTGTTATATAGGATGGAATAGTATTTGCATATTATCTATATTTTCAGATAGGCTACAGCAGGATATACCTATACATCACTTCATTTGTGTGGATTCAGTGTAGTGCTTGGCATATGGCAAATTCAAGTTTTGCTTTTGGGAACTTTCTGAGGTCATTTTTTCCAACATTTTCAATGAGCAATTAGTTGAAACTGCAGATCCAAAACCCACAGATACAAAGGGCTAACTGTATCAATATTCTGACATCTCTTACCAAAAGGTATTCTTCATTACTGTATTATCTATGGATTTTAGACAGATAAAACACAAGCATGACTATTTTAGTGCTATTCAAAAACAAGCTTCATACCTTGCCTTAAGATTGGGATGCCCCTAAAAGGTATAAAAGACCCAGGATCATAGAGATGATGTGATCATATAGGCATAGCTGCACCTATACCCCCCCACACACACACATACACATACAATACTGTTGTAATTGAGGTAAAATCAGATTTAAGAGGACAATAAGAACATCCTTTAAGTGGAAGTCCCCAAAAGCACCTGAGAAGGTTGTGTGTGTGTGTGTGTATTATGAAGGAAAGAACAACCCTATTCACTGTATAACTTTACAGTTATGGAGAGTTTGCACTTCACTTCAGTAGTATGTTTATTGGGTACCTACCATGTGCAAATTTCTGTGCCAAGTGCTTTAGGAAATAAAAAATATAAGCACTTGCCTTGCCTGACCTCAAATTTGGTGGGAAGAGTACAGGATTTGCAATTGGTCTGTTCAAGGGTTGCAGCCTGGCTCTCCCCCTCACTAGCTGGGTAATCCCACACAAGGCTTTTAACTTCACTGAGCTCAACTGCAAGATTGTGATGGCAGTGCCTCCAACAGAAAATTGTCACAGGAATGAAATGAAGGCATGTGTTTAAAGTGCCTGACATTGCAGTGCTCAGTGATAATTTGTTGAGTGAATGAATAGTGTTTAATGAATGATAACATTTGAAGATTGAGAATGACAAAAACAATAAAACCTTATATGTCAAAATATATAGGGTATTCCAAAAAATGTATACACACACTTCAAATAATTACAAAGGCAGTGTTTATTAAATACATTTCATTTTCAAAATTGAGCTATCAGCTGTTAAAGTGTGTATACATTTTCTTGGGACACCCTGTATGCCTTAAAAGAAGCAGCACAGGAATCCAGAGGATGGTAAATATCACTTCCTTTGGGGACTTTCTTCCCCAAAGGGTTCATGTCCCTAGAGGCATTTGCTGTGGGCCTTAGAGGATGGATAGGGTGGTGACTGAAGACTTGCTTGGATTGGCATGTACCAGCGGTCTAAAGGGTATGAGTGAAGTTCCTTGTCCTGACCTGAGGCACTCACCTTATGGGCAGTATTAGTGCTATTGCTCTCCCAGCCCCGGCTGAGGGGAGTAGAGCTTGAGGACCTTATCTCTCCACTCCATATACTTTCAGGATGAAGATTTCCTAGATTGAATGGGAGTGATTAAGTAAAAAGCTAAGAAGAAAAAAAGATGAAATAGCAAAGATGTTGATAAGTGCAGAACCAATATAGCTGTTTGGAGGCCTTTTGTTCCATAGGAAGTAGTTTTGGATGTTCCGTAGAAGCAGCAGTTGTACATACTGTTTCTTCACTACATGAGATGATGTTCAAGACCCTAGTAAATGAACAAGAACCTGCTACTGGTCCCACGAGGAAGAGGGCTGTACGTGATGACTTGAGAACACCTTCCTTTCACTGCTGAGCGCAACAGAAGATACAAAAGACAGGCCTGACCTAAGTGATAGAATTTATGACTTTTTGTTCTATAGTGTATATGTCAGAGAGCCTGCTGAGGTTTTTCAGATATGCTGCCTCCTATTTTTGCTACTTGACAAATAAATGAGACCACAGAAGAAAATGAAAACGCACTGTTAAACATAAATGATGTGTATTCCTTTATATTCATGTTCCCATTGAAATGATGATTTATAAGAGGGGACTATGGGAAGTGAAGCTGCCTGTACAGATGGTGTTGAAGGACAGGGTTTTGTTTTCTAGACCATGAAGCCTGAATAACAGACTTTTGGCAATGAGAGCACATCTCACAAAATCCAGAAAAAACAAACATACCTAACACACACAGAAACACACCGACCTGATTAAGGGGGGCATAACATGAATTTGCAGAGGAATGGGAGAAAAATGTCCAAACTGGATCAGGCCAGACCATACAGTCAGCCAAGCAATAAGACATACTTGAAAGAATAGTGGGGGAAGGTAAGAAAGACTGCTGAGGACTATATTCATGACCTCCAATTTCTATTAAAAATTGACTTTCAAGGTAAACTCAATTCAGTTTCAAGTAAACTTGAAATATAGATGTGAGGAAATACACACGGCCCTTTAAATATTATGAAGTCTAGCTGCTTCCTTTAGTCACTCTCGCACCATCAACAGTCAGCTCTAGGTGCTTTCAGAATGGGGTCTGGGCGTAGCCCTAATCCCTCCTGGGGTATTACTTTTAGAAATTAAGAAGTAATAATGTTTGAAATCATTTTTAAACATCTGAATAAAGTTTAGAATATTTAAAATGTTTTTTCTATCTTGGCAAGTGAGTAGAAATTTAAATCTAGAAATTGGAATCTAGAGAGCACCAAATTAGTTGTTTTGCTGTAAAAAGATATGACTTAAGATGTGTTTTGGGGTGTGTGTAACACTGTCATAAGAGGTCAAGTATTTTAAAACTTAACTCTATACTTTAACTTTTTATGTGAAAAATACTTTTAACTATTTGGTAGTAAAATATTATGTAAAATAAAACCGCATAACAATATTTGTATTCTGGTTTTTGATGTGTAGGTAGATCGTTGGCCAGAGACAGGATATGTGAAGAAACTTCAGAGAAGGGACAATACTTTCTATTACTACAACAAACAGAGGGAATGTGAGGACAAGGAAGTCCACAAAGTGAAAATTTATGCTTACTAGGCCTCTGTTCTTTGTGTTACTTATCATTACCTTTTAATATTTCATTGCTTCGTTCTGCATCATGTAAATGTTTGTCAATTTACAAAAGAATTCAAGATGTAGACTTCAACTGAATATTCTGAAACACAGAAGCCATGAAACTTGGTATCTGTTAGTCATCTCATTCTGTTCTAAAATGTAACTGCAGAAGCATTAAAATTGTACCTGTCTCGGTTCTGTTCTTTTGATTATTTTAACTGTGGCAAAATAGCCATCATGCACAGGAAAAATAGCCCCATTGGAAACCATCCCACTGGTTAGGCTTATCATGTATAGGTGACTGCTCTACCCTCACAGCCTTCAGCCTTTACCACTTTATAAGACCATGACTTTGAGCGGCCAGATCTGCATTTTGCAGGCTGAGGAATCCTTTCTATTGCCTCAGGAATCCTTTACCTCTTGCTGAGTAGACCAAAACTGTCAACAGATGATGGCCTCTGGGAGCAACCTTCAGCCAATGACTGCTGGGGAGGAGATGGATAAATGCCCAGCAACCCAACACCTCAGCAGGAATCCATCTCAAGTGTTTTTTTTATACGGGCACCCCATTTCCCCAGCAGAAACAAGCTTCAGTCACCTGCAGCTGTATCTGACTTGATCAAGGGGGATTTATTTTCAAGATGCAAGGCTGGTTCAATATTTACAAGTCAATTAACATGATACAACACATAAACAAAATGAAGAGTAAAAATTATATCAATACATGCAGAAAAAGCATTTGAAAAAAATCCATTTATGATAAAATACCCTCAGCAGAGTGGGGATAAGGGAACATACCTCAACATAATAAAGGCCGTATATGACAAACTCACAGCTATCAGCATACTCAATGGTGAAAAGCTGAAAGTTTTTCTTTAAGATTAGGAACAGGACAATTATTTCCACTTTCACCACTCTTATTCAGCATAGTACTCAAAGTCCTAGCCATAGCAATCATATATATATGGCATCCAAATTAGAAAGAAAGATGTAAAAATTGTTAGTTTTTGTAGATGACATGATACCATAGAGGGTGGTACAAAAGTAGGAAGACATCAGGTTCAGGCTGGTGACTCTAAAAGCCCCTACCCAACTCCAGCAAGAGTGAAAACATCTCATACACTCCCCAAATCTGGGAATTATTTCTGGCTCCACTTCCTACTTTTTGCTTTGAATTATCTCCCTCTCCCCTGGATTTTTTTTTTAAGAGAGAGAGAGAGAAAGAGAAAAAGAGAGAGAAAGAGAGAGAGAGAGGAGAGAAGTCATCGATGTGAAAGAGAAACATCGATAGGTTGCCTCCTATATGCACCCTGACTGGGGATTGAACCCTAGTATGTGCTCTGACTGGGAGTCGAACCCGAAACCCTTTTTGGTGTATGCGACAATACACCAATCAACAGAGACACTGGCCAGGGCTCCCTGGATTTGAATCCACATTCTTTATCTCTGCATTGATGACTTTTTTGGATTGTGAGTCTGACTCTTTAATTCAGAGCATCATTTCTTCCCCAAGATACTGCTTCTCAGATTGGCCCATGGCTCCATGCACTGCAGCCTAAGAGCTGAGACTGCCCCAAACCGTGAACGTTACCAGGTTCTCTGATACCATGACTGAACCTAGGCCTTACATGTCCAAGGGGAGGAAGGGGGGGACTAAACATTAAGCCCGTGGCATGTAAGGTCATGCTACTTAAGAGATGGGAAACACTGGTAGACCCTGTTATGCTAATTTTATGCTCGGCTATGGAGTTCCCAGATATTTGGTCAAACTTTATTCTGGTGTGTCTGAGAGGGTGTTTTTAGATGAGATTAACATGTGACATGGTAGACTGAGTAAAGCAGATTGCCCTCTCTAATGTGGGTGAGTCTTGTCCAATCACTTGAAGGCCTAACTAGAACAAAAAGGCTTCCCTCCTGTGAGGAAGGGGGAACGCCTGCCTGATTTCTTGAGCTGGCCCATCAGTTTTCTCCTGTCTTCAGAGTAGAACTCCCCCAGCTTTGCTGACTGCAGATCTTGGAGCCTGTCAGCCTCCATCAATGCCTGAGCCAATTCCTTATAGGAAATTCCCTGTCTCCTGTTGGTTCTTTTTTCTAGAGAACCCCAAATAATACAACCCTCCTAGATCCCACAATCCAGTTAAGATAACAAAGTAAACTCATTATGTAATGAGTAACAGGGCCCAGTAGCATAAAGAGAAAAAGCATGAATTTTATAGACTAGAGAAATTAGGGAAAGCTTTTTTTGGAAAGTTTGGGACATGAGCTGAATTTTGAACAGATCAGAACTAGTTGTAGGTGCAGAACTCCCTAGGACTTACCAAGTAAATCTTAAATTGGGTTGGGTGGTCCCTTGGAGGGCAGGAATAATGGCTCATTCATGTTGGTCCCACTCTTCCTTCTCTGCTTAACTTGGCATCACTTCAGAGGAAGCCTTTCCTCATTTTCTCCAACTCCTTCTCTTGACATGTTCTCACAGCACTTATTTTATTTCAGCACTTTATTACACTCTGTTTTAAAAGTCTATTTTCTTATGTTCCCTGCCTCCCTACAGGACTGAGTTCATGGAGGTAGAAGCCTACAGTGTTTATCTGTCATTGCATCTCTTAGCACCATAGTTCTAGTATGAATGGGTGGGTAGATAAATAAATGAGTAATAGAAATAATAACAAACTAGTAATAATATTACCTATTATTAATGAGTAACAAAATATAATTCTACTAGAGGCCCAGTGCACGAATTCATGCACAGGTGGGGGCCGGCTGGCCCGCCCTGATCAGGGCCAATCGGGCCGGACCAACCAGGGGAAGGGGCTGTGGGTGGTTGGCCGGCCGGCCCAGCCTCCTGGTCAAACTTCCGGTCGAAGGGATAATTTGCATATTAGCCTTTTATTATTAAAACTTTGATAGGACCCTATGATATAAAGGTAAAAATAATTTATTACCAGAACAAATTGTATACATTGGAAAATAGAATCCAAGTGGATTCCAAAATGGAAAAATTGGATAAATATCTTTTCTTTTTCTTCTTTTCATTTGAAAGTGATACATGCTTATTAAAGAACATTTAAGAAAATACCCCAAGTAGAAAAATTAAAAATCACTTACGGTTCAATGCCCCAAACAAAGTATATTACAATTTTGTTATATTTCTTTCTGATCAAAAGGACTATAGTGCCCTAGCCAGTTTGGCTCAGTGGATAGAGCATCGGCCTGTGGACCAAAGGGTCCCTGATTTGATTCCAGTCAAGGGCACATACCTTGGTTGCAGGCCCCTCCCTGGCCAGGGCCCTGGTCAGGGCTCATGCAGGAGGTAACCAATTGATGTGTTTCTCTCTGTCTTTCCCTCTCTTTTCCACTCTCCCTAAAAATCAATGAAAAAATATCCTCGGGTGAGGATTAACAAACAAAAAAGGACTATAGCTAACATTTGAGACTCATGATAACTCACAGTAGGTTCAGCAACCGGCTCCAGGTCACAGAACTGGCTAAATGTTAGAGCCAAGCTATGGACCCAAACATCTTGGGTTCAAAGCCCTCACTATACCATTTCTATTCCTTTTATTATTGCACATAATCTATAAAACAAGGATGAAAGCTGTTTTTTCTCATGAAAATCCACCATGAGAGCCATCTGGAGACCCATTGCTGACAACTGCTGAGCATCTTTGTTCTACGGTCTTATTCCCCTGAAGGTACTAGGCAGTTTATGGGTGTCTTAGCATGAGACTTCTTGACCAGGCACAAATAAAACACACAAAATGAAAACCACCCCACAGAGAATGTTGTGACTTGCTGTTCAAAGAGTTAGATGTACAAGGTTTCTCAAAATTGCCATTTCTGGCACAGGAAGTGATTTCTTTCTTTTTTTTTTCAATCTTTAATTTCTTTATTGATTAAGGTATTACATATGTGTCCTCGTCCCCCCATTAACCCCCAGTCCTCCCCATCCCCCCACTCATGCTCTCATCCCCCTGTTGTCTGTGTCCATTGGTTGGGCTTATATACAAGTCCTTTGGTTGATCTCTTCCCCTTACCCCCACCCTCCCCTACCTTCCCTCTGAGGTTTGACAATCTGATCGCTGCTTCTCTGTCTCTGGATCTGTCCCTGTTCATCAGTCTATGTTGTTCACTATATTCCACAAATGAGTGAGATCATGTGGTATTTATCTTTCTCTGACTGGCTTATTTCACTTAGCATAATGCTCTCCAGTTCCATTCATGCTGTTGCAAATGGCAAGAATTCTTCTTTTTTACAGCAGCATA